AAACAGGAAACTCTTCCTCCCTCAGCTGTCCTCATGTTGCTACCACCGAATAGGCGAGCATCCCGCTAGCCCCCAGGTGAGTTTCTGACAACACGGCCGTCATCATGTTGTTCCCACCACCGCCCGAACGTTCAACGCATCGTCCGACAGCCACTTGCTCAGGTAAACACCTCGCCTGATTCTTTCGCTGCTATGTGGCCGCACTCAATATGAAGAAAACACTTTGGATCGCGCGATTGACTTCCCCTATCGATCGTTCGTTAGGAAGCAAGCAAAATCCAAATGAATCTTTAGCTAAAACTCGGAAAGATTCATTGCCAACTCCACGTTCCCTTTCCGAGCACAGCTCCTGGCTGACACACCTCCAAAACTTAAACACTAATCTCCGAATCTAGGAAAAGTCCCCCGACTGCGCTGTTCCTATTCTACAGTCTCCCTTCACTTGATTTCCATCATGGATTGAGCGGAAGATTCGCCCCTTCACGCGCCCATCTCCAGTCCCGAGTAGCACCACGAGGTCGCCTTTTCCTACTAGCCTACTAACAACTAACTTAACATTCATATTAACGTCGTAGTCAGATTCGCGCAACCTCATAGACTCTTAATCAACTGCTCTTTTCCATCTTATTCGTGAGTCTGGGGATGTCTTCGTTATTCCTCTCCACCGTTTCCCGCACTCCCTTACTCACCACTTTTCTCTCCTACCTTACTACTTTCTTCTCTTTTCGCTAGACGAAGCCTACCATTCATTCGCCCGGGTTAAAATATCAGTCTAGCCTTTTCTCTCAGTCGGTTTCGTTGAGAATCGAGTGAGCTAATAATTTCCTCGCCCCCTCCATAGCCTCTTACCTCCTCCTTGTGCCCGAACGCACCTGACGCGTCCTTGCGCCTAAGTTCATTCCACTTTGGTTGTAGCCCGTCACTCCGCCCCCACTCTTCGGATAATGTCGCGCTCGACCGCTCTCGGCCTACGGTCGGACTCCGCCGCTCGCCCCCAACGCATCGGAAGCCTGACGCATAGTCTCACTTCTGCATCGACAACTACAGGCTGAGAAAACAACGGATGCCCCACTCGTCCAAAGCCTTTTGGGACGAACCGAAAGTTTCCATCTGTGTACGTGGGCGCAAAAAGGAAAGCGCCCCACAGCGGCTTACCCAAATACTCCGTTCTGTCACTACCCGACATCGCCCTGGTCCAGGTTCACTTCTACTCATTACCTTATTTTCCTCACATCAACTCCTTTTCTTGCTTACTTTGGAGGGAGCCCAATACTTACCAATTTCGACAGGGAGGGGCTCGCCTGCTCCTATGCCCAATCCCATCAGACAACTACCAGACAGCGCAGCTACCCTTCCCCATTTCGCTGCAGGCGAATTCGACGACCCTCTGTATGTCAATATGGTCGCGGCCTCTGGCTCGCTCCCTTCCGACACCGGTCCGACCCTTTGCGGCCCATAGATAGTTACCGGTTTCGGGTTCGCCGGCTTGCTGTAGGCCTGTAGTATGGTGGCTGCCAGGACAAACCCCGACAGAGACCCTGACAGCAATAGGAAGCACCTAATGTGATTAAAAAAAACTTTTGAAGCCCATATGCGTCCGGAGGCTCTTCGTGTCCGCGGCCCCTTCCATCGTGCCCGAGACTGTCCTTCCCTGGCCCAGCCTTCGAGTCCCACCGGCATGCTCGCAGTGAGTTCTCTCCCAGCAGACAGCCCGACCAGGCCGGTACGCTCGTCAGCTGGCCACGACCAGCCCCCGCATGTTGGACACCTTCTCGCTGGTTTTCACGTTAACTCCTCAGCCCCTGTCTCAAAACGGCAGGG